GACACACAGGGGCCCAGGAAAGGAAACCAGCCTCTGTTGTATGTTTATGCTGGGTCAGCTCTGTGGAAAGCCCCCAACTACAGGCCAACCTCGCTTAGCACACGTTGCCTTATTGCACTTTGCAGATAGTCCATTTTTTCACAAATTGAAGGTTTGTGGCAACCCTGTGTCATATTAGCACCATTTTTCCAACAGGCTCAGATGATGGTTAGCATTTTTTAGCAATAAATTATTTTTTAATTAAGGTATGTATATTTTTTAAACATAATACTCTTGCACATTTAATAGACTACAGTATACTGGAAACATAACTTTTATATGCGCTGGGAAACCACAAAATTTGTGTGACTCGTTTTATTACAATATTCACATTATTGTGGTTGTCTGGAACTGAACCCACATGATTTCCGAGGTATACCTGTATTTAAATCTTACAAGAATTTGTAGAAAGGAATTATTACTATTCCCAGAGGATGAGACAGACTCAGAGAAGTTAAATAATTTGTTCAAGATTACACAGCTACCAATTGGTGGTACCTGCATTCACACGTTTGTTAGACTCATAAAGAAAGTCAAGCTTTTTATCTTAAACAGTTCCAGAGTGTTAGGATTCCTTAACGTTACCAACCTTTGTCTGATGAAACTTTGGCTCTTATATAATTTCCCAAGATATATAGTGATTATTTAGGCTTGTATGGACATGTGGTGCCAAGCAGGACCATGAGTTCCTCCTACAGGGCATTTCACAGCAAATGCTATGAAGAGACTGTAATGTGATGTCAGTGTACAAGGAGACTGTGACATCCCATATTATTCTTTTGTTGATGGGAAAGATATGATATGGTCAGATCAAAGTGAATATTTATTCTACCTATTACATATTTCATATGCTCTAATAACTAAGAATTTGAAAACAAAATCTACACTTTTTTTAAAAAAATTATTGACTTTAATTTTGTATTTCACTACCAAAAAAGACACTATTCTGTACCTCTTGGAGAGACACTTACACTTTGCTATCTTGACTTACATTTCCCTTCCTCTTCAATAGGAAGAAACACATTAAAGATTTAGAATTATAAAGCTTCATTTTCTTTAAAACAAAAGTAATAAAAATAAATGGCATAATAAAAGCGTTATTAGAGGTGACAGGATGTATTGCAAATGCCAGCTGGTATCTTTTCTCTAGGTTTAGCAATTGTCAGCCAATTTAGGCTTAAGTGGTAAAAGTTGCTTTGTGGATAAAAAGAACAGGGTGGAAGTAGCCAAGATTCTCCTCCAGGAGCTTAGGAGCACTTTGTTCTGGTTCCTAACATCACTCAGAATGCCATAGTCCTCAAGAGGTAGAACCATCTCCATCCCATAGGTGGATGAACTTGAAGGACCATTGAATCAACTCTCCTTCACTGGGTATCTGTTTGAGGAGCTGTTTGAGAGGCTCTACCACGTCTCCCTGACTTCGTAAAATTCCAGACGAAGCAGAAAGTTCAATCAAATCACCATTAGTTGACAACCCACAGGAGTTTTTTTGGTTTCCCTCTCCTAATAGAAATACTTTCACAAATATCAAACAATATGGAAGAGAGATTTTTCAGAACTTTCTTTTCAGGGCTACCAAATAAGGATATTTTGAATTGCTAGAACTAATCAATAATGCAAAGGAAAGATGTATTTCCTATTATGTACTTTTTGGAAACAAGCTTGAAAAAAAGAGTACTGGTATATGCTAAGGACAAATCAAAAGCACAGTATTGTCAAGCAGACACGTAATTTCTCAGGGAGAGATTGGCAACATAAACATCTAATGATATTTGATGATGATGATATTCTGAGTGAAAAATGCCATCCTCCGTGAAAAGATTCCAAGTTCTTCAAAGACTTGCTCATAGAAAGACATTCTTTATGAATATATATTAAGGTACAACCTATTTTAAATATTTCAGTAAGTTAATCGGAAGCTCTTTCACATTGATTAATTCTATTCCAGCTCACTGTCAGAAACAAAAATTTTTTAAAAATTATTTTCACTTTGTAAGCATTAGGAAAAATGCTCTCTGCATTAAGGTAATCAAGTCCATTTTGGAGGAGTAGATATATCAAATCCACAAAGAAAACTCTCCTAGAACTAATGGTATTAGATTACCTTTGAATTCTCACCCCAACTCTGAATAGTCACTAATTCCTTTCTTTGCTCTTTTGGTGTTTGCAAAGAGGTTCACTAAAGCCTGAATTGATATAATTATTGGCTCAGATTGTTAGAGATCTGGACCAGATGGCTTTGAGTTTCTGAAGTTCCAGTTGCTTGTGGTAGCTTCCCTAGTTGCCTATAGGGTTTGGGGATCAGCAATTTGAAAGGGCTACAAACTTGTAAAACAGTATTATTCATGGGGGCAGGATGTTCATCAGCGTGACCCAGTACTAAATACATTCATTATAGGCATTTCTATTCTGCACAATTGGCCACACAGCACTGGTTTCTGGAGGGAGGAAAAGACAATGGCTTATAAAATGCTTTTGAATGCCTAAAAAGAAGGAGAGCTCATGCTGAGACTCCTCTGCTTTCTTTTTTGGAAAGAATCTTCTTAGTGACTTTAGTTGGGCTCTGCTGAGACTAAGCAAAGTGGAAAAATCAGAAAATTACTTTTTTTTATATGTTTCTGGGGGGCAAAATAGAGAGTGGGAGAAAATAAATGGAAAAAAGTGGCAGTGAGGTTATGTGAAAGAGCAAATATGCAAGTGGATGAAGGCAGCTGAGTAATAATGCAAGAGGTATGGGGAAAAAGCAGCAAGAATAGAGCCACGATGATAAACTTAAAAGGAATTGCAGTGCAGAAAGAGCATCATAAATAATCATATTTTCAAATAAGAATACCATCTCCGTTTCTGTGACCTGGATAGAGCACAGCCTCCCGTGATATTTCCTAGCATTCTGATGCACACAAAATGCAATTTTCAGCTCAGGTATTTTATTTTCCAGTGTAAACAAGCTTTGGGGGTTTTAAAAATACATATCTGAAAAGTGTTTTCATAAATAATACATATATTATAACAATTGACTTGTAAACTACTGAGTCCCACCATGTATACATAGTATCTTTTGGTAGAAACTGGCATGCTGAAGCATGAAATGTCTTTTACCCAAGATGAGCAGGATTTTGTGTTTCTCTTTTTTGAAGTGCAGGACAAAGAAATAAAATAGCCAATTTTGCCCAAACTCAAGGAAAGAAGTGATGTAAGGTACAAGTATATTGTTAATGAGTTTGAAATCCTAAGGTGTTCCTTTAAATCTTGCTAATTAAGAGAAATCAAGAATAAAAAATAACCCTTTTCTTATCTCCAAAGAACAAAGATGAAAGAAAAAAACAGAGAATGAAACATCTTCATCGGTTCTGTTCCTGAAACACAGCCCCAAGGAAATCTGCCTGTGCTCACCGAGGGAGGAAGACCCGAGCATTTACAGAGGGGGAGGGGAAGGCGGCGGGCTCAGAAGCCTAATTAGAAGCAAGTTTGCAAATTTTATTAAATCCCTCCACCCACCAAATGCACGGAGAGGTATTTTAACTCAAACCGGTACTTAAAGGCTATGAAAAGCAAGATGATTACATGTTTGTGGAAGGAGAAAAGGGCAATTAAGAAAACCAGACCAATTTACAATGCCAGAGAAATACAGGCGACCAGAAGTTGATTTAAAGTTTTTTTTTTTTTCTTCTTCTTCTGTAATTTGTCTCCCCTTTGTCGCGGCACGCTCGGGGAAAGTGAATG